TTTTTGGAAACGTTATCCACAATGGGAAGAGAGCATTGGCGTAACTAATGGGGGTGCCAGGGGGGCCAGGCCCACTCCAGAATAATCTATGCTCCCTCCAGAATTTTTGGTGTTTGTTTTTGACTCACCGGTATTTTTTCAAGCTTGTTAAGGTCAATGTTACTATTTAACAGTGATTAATAAAATTGGACCACCAACAAAGATTTTCGACGTAGGACTACGTCTGTGATTTCTATATGGGGGTACACTTTGTGAAAACCGGAAATGGAACATGTAACACAATTATGAAAGATTTAGAACGCTAATAACTCAACTTCCCCTGAACCAATTTTAATAATTTTATCACCAATCGATCAGAAATATTTCTACGCATCTGTCAAATTTAAGACGTTATCATTTTTCAAAAAGGCACTATTGAAAATTGCATGAATGTGCAACTGTTGCTTTGAGCACCGATTGCCTGTGAAAAGTGATTTCCCTAACACAGATTTCAAAGTTGAATTCCATCCGATCTAACCAAACGGTGTTTATTCAATCACAGCGTGGTGAGTGGTGGTGTTCTCCTGTATATAACAAATGGCTGTCTGGAAGCAATGAGATGCAGCCCACATGAGCATCCAAAGAAAGAAGAAGAAGCCGCACCGCTATTGATCCGAATCAATAGCTTTGTGGGCCAACTATGCCAAGCGCGTCATACTAAAGAGTATAAACAGAGAGAACCTCGCTCAAATGCCTATTCCTACCCGAAACACAAGCTCCTGCTGCAGTGAATAAATAAGATTTATTATGTAAGACACGTAGTTCTACGTCACCATTACGTACAACCCCATAGGGCTGTCCCTTGTAGTTTTTAAAGTCCTTTATGTTGATTACTTTTGTTATGTTCTGGACTAGAAGAAACAATTTTGAGAAATTATATTATATCAAATCGATAGCAATAAGACGTCTTCAGGCTCTACAGATTGGCCATGACTTCAAATAGAAGTTCAGAGAAGATCGTAGAAATTAAGTAAACTTGGTAGATATTCTGAGAAGTTCATAGACCTTCAGAAAAATTCATAGGAAAAAGGAACTTCGAAAAGTTCTGAAAACTGCGTAGAAGTAGAGAGTTCACTTAAATATGAGGAGCTTCGTAGAAGTTAAAGGAGCATTATTTTATTTTTGGGAAGCTCATTATTGATCTACATAATTTCAGTTTTGTTTAGCCTCATGGACTTGGAATAGTTGTGGAAATTCAACAGCAAACTTTGTGGAAGATTTTCAAATTGCGTAGCATTTTGAGGAGCTGCGTAAAACTTCATAATGGGGAAAGGAATTTTGAAAAAGTTCAGGGAATTTTTTAAAAGATCTAAAAATAGTTCAATAAACTTCTAAGAACTTCAGGTATCTTCGCCTCAGTTAAGGGAACTTCCTGGCAGTTTTTCAGAGATCTTACTCCAAAAAAGCTCCATGACCTTCTTGGAGGTTTTGGGAACTTCGCTAAATTCAAGGAACTTTCTAGGTGTTCAAGAATATTTGTAGATGTCTTAGGTGTCTTTCCAGAAGTGCAAAGATGTTCAGAGATCTTTGTAGAATTTAAAGAAATGGAAAAAAATATGGAATGTGGAATAAATTCAGGGAACTTCGTAGAAGTTGAGGAAATTTTGTAAAACCTAAGTTTTGTAGATGTTCAGGAAACGTTGCATAAGTTACAGGATATTCTTTCAAACATCCTTCCTAGACATAAGGAAATATTCAAAAGATCTCCATATAATTCAAGATATTAGTAAAGTTCACTTGATATTTGGTAGGTTGTAGGTTGATTAGGAAGTATTCAAAAGTTTTCCAGCTAATGGAATCTTGAATGATGAAACTTGATTTTAGGGCCATATTTGTACATTCTCTATAGGGAAGACCCGTGCCTTGGTGTTTTAGCTATATTGTCACAAATTTGCACTCCAGCAGCTAAATTCCGGGCAGAAATTTCAATTTCTGCGTACACCTAATATGTATAAATTTCTTTCTTTTCGAATATCCTTTTTTATTAGTTACAAAATCTTGAAAACATATGGGTTTGGGATCACAAAATTATTTTTATCAACAATGTTAAGGATTGTGCATCTGCAGCATATGCATGTACGTAATAAGTGGATTTGTTAGTTATTTCAATGCTTTTTAACAATTCTTGACATTTCCCATTTTTTAAATAATCTCTTGTTAAAAATCAACAGCATTGCTATCGATGCGTAAAAATATTTCTGATCAATTGGTGATCAAATTATTGAAATTGGTCCAGGAGCAGCTGAGTTATTAACGTTAAAAATCTTTCATAATTTCGTTACATGTTCCATTTTCAGTTTTCACAAAGTGTACCCCTATATAGAAATCACCGACGTAGTCCTACGTCGAAAAATTGTGTGTAACTTGAATATTTTTCTACGTCCTAAATGTATTAAATTTTATTCTGTGTGCACTTTACCTCAAACTCCTAGAATTAAATTTTGGTTCCTTTGTCTGAGATTTAACTGCTGAATAAAAAAATCAAGTTACAAAATTCATAAAATTACCTAACCCTGAGAATTTTCATAAGTTTGAGATGCTTACATTTACAAAATCCGGACTGTGATTTTATTACAAAAAACATGAACAAACGATCATTGCTTGTTCAAAGGTCCCAATCGTTGTTATGGAATAAATTTAATCAAATTTATTGTTTCACCATTAAAATAATAGTAAGCCTCAATGTCATATTATTGGTCACAGAAAAAAAAATGTACCCAAAAATAAGTTGCCTTGGACGTAATTTGAGTGAGTTTTTCATTACCAGTAGTTTTGCAAAATTAAAAAAGTGCAGCAGGCCCCCCTTCGGCCCCTCCAGATAAATGTTCTAGCTACGCCAATGGACGAGAGGAAGCGAGTAATACAGGAGGTTCATCAGAAAGCCCACTTAGGATTCGTGAAGACGCTAGCAGCGGTAAGAGAGAGGTACTTTTGGCCGTTGATGAGCCCGCAAAGCTCGCCAACGTAAGCTTTCAGAAGTATTGTAAGTAGCGAACCTACACTTGCATGCAAGGCCGCTAGCACGGACACATAATGATAGCGCGCTAGGCGAATAGTCGATCGACCGCACTAGTCAGTTAGAGGTGAACAGAAGATAGGCCGGCCAAGATCAAGTTTGTAAATATGTAAAATAAAAACCCTATAGATAATACAAAACTGAATAGATGTAGAATTTCCACTCACAAATTAAATCAGTGTTAGTAAGTTTTGATTTAGAGAGTCTGAAGGTTGTTTTACGTTTCGTTCGTCATGTTTAGTATTTTGTTGTTGAATTGGTTGTGTTACTCGTTTTCTAAAGCAAGCTCGAATTGATGGGTCAGAGGGATTGCTTCCTGTGATGATAGGGTTAACTATTCCATTTCCGGCCTATTAAGCACAACCCGCACTTAGTCTTTCTTAATTTAGCGCAGTTTAGCACCAAACGGAATGTTAATATTACTGATGGCTTCCAAATTTATTTAGATTTGATAAAGACACCAATTTTTGAGATATTATCAAAAGTCTAACACTGCTTCTTGACGTCAAACTCGGCCTACGGATTCTAAGCTCGGCCTAACGCATTGAAACGCAATTGAAACGCATTTGAAACGCCAATGAACTCACTTCGGCCTATCGGATGAAGATAAAACATGATTCGGTCGGAGCACTTCTTTTGTTTTTTGGAATAATGGGTGCAAATCTTCATATCACGCGTTCTCATTGACTTCGTTTGGTAGCTTATTAACTAAAGTATCGTTCCAAACGCATAATTGACTTGTTAATTCTGAAATCATGGATTAATTTGAAGTTTTCTGCTCGATAGGCCCAAAATGGGCGATTAGGCCAAAGTTTTCTGCTCGATAGGCCCAAAATGGGCGATTAGGCCGAAGTAGTCTCTCGGGTCTGTTGGTCTTGTTCCCGACACTGTTGACGAGTTTTAGAACTGGCTCATTTGGTCATCAGTATCTAGCCGGGCATCGTGAAACACGACAGGTGGTCCTCTTCGGAGGGGGCGCTTAAGCCATCCGTTTACTTAACCGATCGGGAACTGCCTCGCGGGGCCGCTACGTGTCCCTCTGGTCCAGGGGTTCCAGGTATTTTGAGAAAAAAAACCTTCAACGAGATCGAACAAATGTGTTCACATACCTTCACCTGGTTGGCTTAATGCTGGGTAATGCGCAATACAGATCCCATTGAGATCACTAGCCTCTTCCCAGCAACTCCTATCCCTACCTCCCCGTGGTACCGGCCGGGAACTGTGAGCAACCTTAGGGAATATCGGGTAACGAACCCCGGTGGGAACTTTGGTCATAGGCTGACAGGGAAGGGGGGTTGGCTTCAACAAGCCTGAGCGTCTGTTCTCCAGGAGGAGCGGCTCACAAAAGCGTCTGTTCCCATGTTAGGGTGGCTGATCTACGTCCGAGTGCCAGTGAAGGACTCTAAGCACAACTGTGCACCCTGGTCCTCCGGAAAGTTAGAAGGTTGGTGTCAGGCCCTGCGAGCCAGCCGTAAAAAAAGCATTGCAACGGAAAATCAGCAACAGAGGAATACGAACCGAGACCAACGGCAACGACCTCAGCTTGCGATTGGAAAGTCGGCACGTGGAACTGTCGATCTCTCAATTTCATCGGGAGCACCCGAATACTCGCCAATCTACTGAAAGACCGCGGATTCGGCATCGTAGCGCTGCAGGAGGTGTGTTGGACAGGATCCATGGTGCGAACATTCAGAGGTAATCATACCATCAACCAGAGTTGCGGCAACACACGCGAGCTGGGCACAGCTTTCATCGTGATGGGCGAAATGCAGAAGCGCGTGATCGGTTGGTGGCCGATCGACAAAAGAATTTGCAGGTTGAGGATCAAGGGCCGATTCTTCAACTTTAGCATAATCAACGTGCACAGCCCTCACTCCGGAAGCACTGATGATGACAAGGACGCATTTTACGCGCAGCTCGACCGCGAGTACGATCGCTGCCCAAGCCACGACGTCAAGATCATCATAGGAGATCTAAACGCTCAGGTAGGCCAGGAGGAGGAATTCAGACCGACGATTGGAAAGTTCAGCGCCCACCAGGTGACGAACGGAAACGGCCTACGACTCATCGATTTCGCCGCCTCCAAGAACATGGCCATACGTAGCACCTTCTTCCAACACCACCTCCCCTATCGTTACACCTGGAGATCACCACAGCAGACGGAATCACAAATCGACCACGTTCTGATTGATGGACGGCACTTCTCCGACATTATCGACGTCAGGACCTATCGTGGCGCTAACATCGACTCTGAACACTACCTGGTGATGGTCAAACTGCGCCCAAAACTTTCCGTCATCAACAATGTACGGTACCGACGCCCGCCACGGTACAACCTAGAGCGACTGAAGCAACCGGATGTCGCCTTAGCATACGCGCAGAATCTCGAGGCAGCGTTGCCAGAGGAGGGCGAGCTCGATGTGCCCCCTCTAGAGAACTGCTGGAGTACAGTAAAAGCAGCCATCACCGACGCAGCCGAGAGCACCATCGGGTACGTGGAAAGAAGTCGACGGAATGAATGGTTCGACGAGGAGAGCAGAGCGATTTTGGAGGAGAAGAACGCAGCGCGGGCGGTAATGCTGCAGCATGGAACCCGACAGAACGTGGAACGATATAAACAGAAGCGGAAACAGCAGACCCGCATCTTTCGGGAGAAAAAACGCCGCCTGGAAGAAGCGGAGTGCGAGGAAATGGAACTGCTGTGCCGTTCCCAAGAAACACGGAAGTTCTACCAGAAGCTCAACGCATCCCGCCACGGCTTCGTGCCGCGAGCCGAAATGTGCAAGGATAAGGACGGGAGCCTCTTGACGGACGGACGTGAGGTGATTGAAAGGTGGAAACAGCACTTCGATGCGCACCTGAATGGCGAGGAGAACGTAGGCACGGGAGACCAGTGCAATGGAGGAAACGACTACGTCAGTGCAGCAGAGGACAGAACTGATCCAACTCCCACGCTGAGGGAAGTTAAGGACTCCATTCAGCAGCTCAAAAACAACAAAGCAGCTGGTAAGGATGGTGTCGCAGCCAAACTCATCAAGATGGGCCCAGAAAAGTTGGCCACCTGCCTGCACCGGATGATAGTCAGGATCTGGGAAACAGAACAGCTACCGGAGGAGTGGAAGGAGGGGGTAATCTGCCCCATTCACAAGAAAGGCGACCATTTGGAATGTGAGAACTTCAGAGCGATCACCATTTTGAATGCCGCCTACAAAGTGCTATCCCAGATCATCTTCCGTCGTCTATCACCTAAAATGACCGAGTTCATGGGAAGTTATCAAGCCGGCTTCATTGACGGTCGATCGACAACGGACCAGATCTTCACCCTACGGCAAATCCTCCAGAAATGCCGTGAATACCAGGTCCCAACGCATCATTTGTTCATCGACTTTAAGGCGGCATACGACAGTATCGACCGCACAGAGCTATGGAAAATCATGGACGAGAACGGCTTTCCTGGGAAGCTGATCAGACTGATCAAAGCAACGATGGACGGTGTGCAAAACTGCGTAAGGGTTTCGGGTGAACTATCCAGTTCATTCGAATCTCGCCGGGGACTGCGACAAGGTGACGGACTCTCATGCCTACTCTTCAACATTGCTCTAGAAGGTGTAATGCGACGAGCCGGGCTCAACAGCCGGGGTACGATTTTTACGAAATCCGGTCAATGTGTATGCTTTGCGGACGACATGGACATAATCGCAAGAACATTTGGAACGGTGGCAGAACTATACACCCGCCTGAAACACGAAGCAGCAAAGGTCGGACTGGTGGTGAGTGCGTCAAAAACAAAGTACATGCTAGTAGGCGGAACCGAACATGACAGGATTCGTCTAGGAAGTAATGTCACGATAGACGGGGATACTTTCGAGGTAGTGGAGGAATTCGTTTACCTTGGATCCTTAATGACGGCTGACAACAATGTGAGTCGTGAAATACGAAGGCGCATCATCAGTGGAAGTCGTGCCTACTACGGGCTCCAGAAGAAACTACGGTCAAAAAAGATTCACCCCCGCACCAAATGTACCATGTACAGAACGCTAATAAGACCGGTGGTCCTCTATGGACACGAGACATGGACTATGCTCGAGGAAGACCTGCAAGCACTCGGAGTTTTCGAGCGACGTGTGCTAAGGACGATCTTCGGCGGTGTGCAGGAGAACGGTGAGTGGCGGCGAAGAATGAACCACGAGCTCGCTGCACTCTACGGCAAACCCAGCATCCAGAAGGTGGCCAAAGCCGGAAGGATGCGGTGGGCAGGGCATGTTGCAAGAATTCCGGACAACAACCCTGCAAAGCTGGTGTTCGCTACTGATCCAGTTGGCACAAGAAGGCGTGGAGCACAGAGAGCACGATGGGCGGACCAGGTAGAGCGTGATCTAGCGAGCATTGGGCATGACCGAGGATGGAGAGCGGCAGCCGCAAACCGAGTATTGTGACGTAGGTACTATTGTTGATTATGTCTTATCTTAAATGTGATGTTGTACAAATAAATGTATGTATACCTTCACCGCTTCTTTAACAGTAGGAGGGAGGGGGGATGGAGGGTTTTTTTAATTGATGTAATTCTAAAATCATAAAAGAGGGATACAGGGAGAATGCTACCCTGCTAAGTTATTGCACTTAATAAATTTTTAAAATTTTGAAAATTTCTGGAGTTCAAGAGTCTCTACAAATAGGGGAAATGGCTCTAATGTTGTCCTACGGATCTAAGATTGGGCTCATCGCTAAAAATCTGCTATTTATCAATTTTATCTAGATGAACGCGTCATTGGGACGGGGTACTAATGGATATTTTTGGTCGCAATTGAAAATTTAGTCTATTGCTGAATTTATGTATGGACCCAAATCAGGCGCATTTAGGCCGACATTACATCCATTTCCCCTACCTACTAGAATTCACATTTTCTCTGTGCGCGGATCTTGAAAGCTTTTCGTAGTCTCTGATATTTTAAATTTCATGTCTGTGAACGCTACTGGTACAAATAAAAATGTACCATAAGCTCAGAACTAAGAACCGATATAAACAAGTATATGACTAAAAATTTGGTTAGTAAAAATAAAAAAAAAAAACGGACTAAAAAGCATCTTCAAGACTGTGACATTTCAAATTCATGAGTCAGATTTGTAAGATTCTGAAACATGAAAATTTTATAAGGCTTTAGAAAATGTTCAACCTTAAACAAAAAACGAATAATTCAAGATTTTGGAACGAAGATTCATATGATGGACCATTAAATTTTTCAAATCTGTACGATCAAGTCAAGTGGTAAAGTGACCATTTTTTGGCATTTTCGGTTTTCTCAAAAATCTTCGGAAATTCTGAAGACGACATTCCAACACTAGCCAAATATATCGGGTCAAACAAAATCCACAACGAATGATGAATTCGTTTTAGTAGTGTAAATACCATCACCCCCAGAGACAAAACCTCGTTGGCACGTTCCAAATCCAGTCTGACAAAGCCTCGTTGGTATCCACTATAATTAAAAAAATGTGTCCTACCTTTCTATTGATTTTCCACAAACGAACATGCACCCACTCTCATCGATCACTCAACTTGCCGCCCTCTACTATTGCTGCAGCTTTGCCATGGTGACAACCGACAAACAGACCAACGACGACGACGACACACAATACCAATGCAAATGCACCTGCAAGCTGCAAGTGCACAACCGACATCATCCATAGCTCCGTTGGCATGGTCCGGTCGTTCACGTATGCATATTGCCCACACGCCATATCCCAACCTAATGAAACAAACATACATACAGTTTTATGATTGTGCTGCTGCAATTGGCTGTTTTTGCCTAAATATGCACCGGTTGACATATGTAGAGCACAAGTTTCAATGACCCTTTGGTGCTGCAGTGCATTCTGAATGAAAGTGTTTAGAATTAAAGCCGGTAAAATTAGCATATTTTGCGGAATTCTAAGGTGGGGCAGGGGAAAGCGGTGAATTGATTCGCTGAGGTTTTGCGAGACATTTGGGGAGGTATTTTAAGTACGACTGCACGCGAAGAAGAATGTGGCGCCCGAACTATCTGCTGCACTATTTACGATTATTATTGTGGTGCAAGTCGCACACAGCGACGACTGCGACGACGACAACGGATACAATAATGATGACAGACGGAACATATGTATCGTTGGCATTTTCGGAATGCCAAACGATTTCTCTACAATGGTAGAAGATTTCACGACGAAGCTTAGACAAATGAGCTTCAAAATTGCATTCGTAAATTGTAAAATTGCTGTTTTCTATCAAATTACGCTCCTCCACGAAAAATCATTAAAAAAAAACAGAAATCTTGCAAAATTATTTTCGGTGTTTCAAGTTTTAATTGCACAACATTTATGAACTAACCGATAAACTTAATTCCGTTTACTTAAACAAAAAGAAGAAAGCATTCTTATCAGATACAACCGTACCTAAAGAGAAACCAATCCGGCTAATTATACGGCCCCCTAAATGACCGACAATAAATTACGGCACGCCAGTCGTTTTTTTTATAACCCCTTAAAAAAAAACCGGCAGCTTTCAAGACACCCATTGTTCCAAGCAATAGCAATTAGCAGCGGAGAACGATCCCATACTTTGCGACACCTACTCTTACCTACCTCAACAACCACCAGATGGTTCTCTTCTGACTCTTCTCTTCTCTCGCTTTAAATAGCTAGAGGCAAGCAACCGGTGGTGCACGATGAATGGGGGCCGAGGGAGCGACTGAAGGCAACATCTACATACCATTTGCATATCATTTTCCACTAACCAGTCGAGCCCCCCTGGCTGAGCGCGCGCGAGAGCTCTGATAGGATCTGGAAACACGCGGTGTCGTATAGAAAAGGAAACGTTTTCACGCACTTAATTGAAATTTTCATTATGAAACGTTGAGCAAAGGGGTTCAGAGCAATTCGTCGGTTTCAACAATACCATGGACGATGAGCGCCGTTGATGGCAGCTTGAATGGTTAAGCTTACTGCATGAATCACACGCTCTTAAGGCGTTAAAGTGTTGACTAAGAATTGATTAAGTTTCACTGTTTTGGCTGCGGAGTCATAAAAATGCGTTGATTTTATGTTATCATTGTGTCGGTCTTTGGGTGTGCAATAGTCAGCGTACGAAATAAGTCGACGTTGGCCCTGGTTGAAGAAAAAAAGCGGAAAATCGGTTATCCCGCGAATGAATCAGCAAATTAATTAATTTTTTTGAATGTTGAAATTCAATGTATTGATTGTGCTCCACGGGGCCTCCCTTAGCTCACTCGGTAAAGGCGCAGCTACAAAGCAAGACCATGCTGGAGGTGGCTGGGTTCGTTTCCCGGTCTGGTCTAGGAATTTTTCGGATTGGAAAATTTCTCGACTTCTCTGGGGTATGATTGTACTTGCCATACAATTATACTAATGCAAAAATGGTACAGGCATCGAAAGCTCTCAATTAATAACTGTGGAAGTGCATCTAGAACACTAAGTTGAGAGGACGCAATAAGCTAATATGCGATACGCAATAAGCTTGAAATGCAAAGAAGAAGAAGAAGAAGAAGAAGAAGAAGAAGAAGAAGAAGAAAAAGAAGCTTGTGCTCCATTCAACGCAAACGATTGAAAATTAGTTCACCTCGGCCTAGCTTTTCACCATAATATTATACGGATAAGCTTACTATTTGCACTTATAGGACAGAACAACTACAACTTTTTTGAAGACCACAATTAAATTTAACAACAGAAAAATTAGTAATCCATTCAGGCCTTACGTTGGGAATTAACCTTCAGGTTCGCCAACGATATCGAAGTAGCCAACGGACAAACGTATTTCAGCGGACACACTTTCACTTCCTGAATATAAAATAAATTGACACTGCAACTCAGTTCGCTTTCGGCTATTGTATCAGTTTTATCATTGGTAGATCACCCGATCGCATATACTTAGTCGATGTCTATTGTCTCGGTGTGCTTTATTCATTGTCTGCTGCAGTAAAGAACACTCTTAGCTGGAGGTGGCAGGGTTCGATTCCCGGTTCGGTCTAGGCATTTTTCGGGTTGGAAAATTTCTCGACTTCTCTGGGCAATAGAGTATGATTGTACTTGCCACACAATTATACTAATGTAAAAATGGTACAGGCATCGAAAGCTCTCAATTAATAACTATGGAAGTGCATATGGAACACCAAGTTGAGAGCACGCAATAAGCTAATATGCGATAAGCAAAAAGCTTGAA